CATAACATTATTGTTTAAAGATTCCATAAATCAATAATTACGGAAAAACACATTTCAAGAAAAATAAAACAGTCATGTACCATATAAGGAACACACATCGCAGTCAATCAAGGAGTATACTGAGCACCTGCTTCATCACGCTTTGCAACAGTGCTCGAACCTAATTCATAAATAAATGAGTTAATATCGAAGTAAAATTTCAATCTAGGTATTCATAGGGTTCACGGGTCGTACGAGTTACTGGCTCACGAGGTCGTACAGATCGAGAGAAGTTGGGTCGTGTTGTCGAACGATCGGGGGAGTCTCGTGTACCTTCAAATAACAATATTTGATCAGTCTCTAACCTTAATTTAATTATTAGCAAATAAAATACTTAAGTACATATGCATGCTCTGGTTTAACGGTCAATTAAGAGGCTTTCGGGTTCAAATTTGGCAAAACGAACTTCTTCGGACTCAGGATATCGAAAAACATAAAATATGACTTTCTAGAAAATTTGACTTTTTGTTTAAAGTCAAAAGTCAACGGTCAACTTTGGTCAAAGTCAACAGTCAGATCAACGGTCAGTCAAAGTCAATGAGTTGACTCTATCCGATTTGACTCAACTCGACCCGGTTTGATTTGACTGGACCGATTTCAAAATGCTCATGGATCGAAGGATGAATCCCACACACACACTATCGGCGTGTGGTGACGCTTGAGGTGACATCAGGGGCCATTTTGAAAAGCTAAACTCTCTTCGATCAACTACACACTTGAATTTAGCCAAAAGTCAGTCCAATTTCACAGCAAGATATGCCAAAGTTATCGAAAATCAATCAGGAACTTACCCCAATGGCAAACGGCGAGGGATGCGATGACAGCGCATCCCACTGCATGGGTTTCGTGCGCACGATGATGGTGAGTTCGACTATAGCAATGGTGTGGCGAGCTGATGCCTAGATCAGCGACAATCGTTGAAATAAGGTGGCACGATTTGGGGGTTTTCGTCGCACTATAAATTATCGATTCGCAGCAAAAGGCAATGTTTCACGGCGTGACGATGCTTGAGTTTTTGTTGTCGGTCGACGACGAGCCGAATGAAAGTGGTAGCTAGCGGAACTACAGTCAGACGATGGAGAAATCAACGGTGGAAGGGTCGACGACACTTAGGGATTTGGAGGTTTTAATTTGGGAATTTTTGGTTTGGGCATTACCAATTTTAAGACCTTAAATAAAATTTTAATTATAAAAATCCTAAACAGTACCCTAGCCTAAACGACTAGGGCATGAGCAACCTCACATGGGTTCGTCACCCTACAACACCTAACCATTTTTTATATTTTTTCACTACTGACAGAAAATGGAAAATTTTAAAGTTAAGTCCTTGAACTTCCCACAACTTTCTAAAATGGACTACTACTCTCGAAATTTTGCAATTTGGTCCCTAATGTTATTAAATTAATTTATTTAATTTATTTAGGGTTGTGACATTTATATTTATGAACAAGCTCGTTTACTCGTTTACTCGGTTCTCCTTTTCCTTTTCTTTTTTTATTTTAGGATGATGTTGACACGGTCGACGAGCACGAATGAGCACCGTTAATTATGAGCACCATTAAATTAATTCATAAAATGTTAAATTATAAAGTACTAAACATATAATTATAAATTAGCTAAAAATCTAAATGTAATTTAATTAAAATACAATATTTATAAAATATTAGTTTTTAGGGTAAACTATACCATTGATCACTTAACTATTTACCCATTTTAGTTTAACCACCGATTTTTCAAATTGTCAATCAGATCACTTAACTATTGGAATCTTGTCAATCAAGCTACATGCCATTAAATATTAACAGAGGAGATGACATGGCAGTTAATAAAATTTGTGTAATTATTTAGTCCTCATTATTTACACACTCTATTAATTTGGTCCTAACTTTTATTTAATTCAATAAATTTAATCTTCAATCCTATTGTGACATATGTCACTGTGTGATTTGATGTTTTTATTATTTTTATTTAATAATTTTTCATCCAATCAAATTGTGCTATGTGTCACCAATTAAATGAATGAAAAATAAATTAAATCAATAACCGCTGTTGGTGGGATTTGAACCTAGGAAGCAGACTAAAAACTAAGTATCCTAACCACTAAGCTAGACCAATAAATGTGTTAAGTATATAGAACATAATCTATATAATTTATAATATAATTAATGATAATAAATAACCTTATAAGGACTAAAACATGAAATAATTGAATAGTATGAAAATATAAAAAAATAAAAAAAAATATTATAATCGATTAATAAATAAATATATTTTATTTATAGTTTAAATAAATGCAAAAATTAAAATAAAAGTAAATTTAATATGTTATAATTGAAATATATCATTTTACATATTTTAAATTAATAAATTGTCTTCATTATTACAATTTTATTGAACTGAAATGTATCATATATTTTAAAATATTATAATGTCGATCAAATTCTAATCGTTTTTAACAACTCTATATTAAAATAGACTAATTCAATAAAATCAAGTTTCCCCTAAATTTTTCTTCAAATATATAATGAATAAATGATGAAATATTTACTCTAACTGGGATATAAACAAGCCAATATATAAGTTAAAATGCTTATTACGATAAGCCCTCAACTATCAAGAAAATTCTAAGTTAATGAAGCTCTTCGTTATATTTCAATTATAATATATTAAAATTATTTTTATTTTTTCATTGAAATAATTTAAAATATAAATAAAATATATTCACATATTAATCAATTGTAATATTTGTATATATATATATATATATCATATTATTGCATTATTAAATTATTTCATGTTGGAGTTCTTATTAGGACATTTTCCCTTTTTTCATTGCTATTAACTATATATATTATGCCGTGATAAGTTTGTCATTTGAATGGTGCATCCTAGTGGTTGGGGTGTTTGCTTCCTCTCTTCATATTTTGGGTTCAAACCCTACCACCACCAACAATTATTGATTTAATTTATTTTCTATTCATTTAGTTAGTGACACGTGGCACCATTTGATTTGATGAAAAATTTATTAAATTAAATAAAATATTAGGGGGAAAATCCAATCACACAATGACATATTTCATCCTATGAATGAAGATTAAATTTATTGAATTAATTAAAAGTTAGGACCAAATTAATAGAATGTGTAAGTAATGAAGACTAAATGTGTAATTATAGAAAATTTATTAACTAGCACGTCATCTCCTTCGTTAATATTTAGCGGCAGGTGATTTGATTGACAAGATTTAAATAGTTAGATGACCCGATTAACAAAATTGAAAAATCGGTGGTTAAAGTAAAATGGGTAAATAGTTAGGCGGTCAATGGTATAGTTTACCATAAAAACTAATGTTTTATAAATATTATATTTTAATTAAATTACATTTAGATTTTTATCTAATTTATAATTATACGTTTAATACTTTATAATTTAACATTTTATAAATTAATTTAATGATGCTCATCTTTAACTGTACTCATTCACGTTCGACTAGGATCGTAGAATTTTTCTTCATTTTAAATATTGATAAAGGTATGGACTAATTTAAACATATGGTAAAAGTTGAATTTTAAACTATGAATATTAAGGAGTTTAAGCACTAACGGTGTAGTTTTACCATTTTTCTTTAGCTTACAGATGAAAAGGTAAAACTAAAATTTGAACATATAAATGAACACTAAACAAACGCTAAACGAACATGATAATAAAATATGAAGGAACATGTTCATGAACATATAAATTAACACGTTTGCGAACATCAAATGAATATGTTCACAAACAATAAATAAACGAACACGGATACCGTTAAAAGTAAATAAATGAATACAAACACAATATTGAAAATATAAAGGAACACGAACCGAACATAAACACATTCAAAAATAAACAAACAAACACGAACATATTTTTATTTATTTAAGCTTGATTAATTTACACTCCTACATTTAATGTATTGTTAATTAAGGTATAAAATTATTGATCCACGTATTTTAGTCTCGTTAACAGTAAAACATATATAAACCCTTAAATCAAGGAGATAAATGTAGGGATGTCTATTAGATTTAAGTTTGATGGATTTTAGTTCGATCTTATTGAGAATTTATATTTGTATTTGGAGTGAAAAATAATTATCTAATTCGATCCAAGAATAAAAATATATTTTACCTTTATATATTTAAAATTAATTACTAAAACATCTTTATGTCTATATATATTTTCTATTAGGTCCCTATTTTATTTAATAAATAAAAATAATGTATATATATGTGTCGGATCAAATCATGTATTAGTTTTTATGCAAAAAATTGAATCGAAATTCATATAATAAATGGAGGAATGTAATACTTGAATTAGATTTGGGTAGAGGAAAATTGCCCCATACCCGTCCCTAAATAAATGCACGTGACATATCAGTCAAACAATTAAATTCGTGAGAGATTTGACCTCATTAATGAATAAAGTATAAAAACAAAATTTATCCACTCAATAATGAAATATTATCACACGTCGGACTCGAGCTGTAAACCGGGTTCCGAACAAAATTCTTAGACCTTGGTGTATTTTTATGAATATTGATGGTCTCATGAAGCGGATTAGCCAAGTACAGGTTAAGTTTGCTCCAAGACAGTGTAACGAATCGGCAGATGCACTCACTAAAGTAGTGCCGAAGAGACCGATGATGTTCAAAGCTTGATGCTGAGCACTCGTAGTAGCTCTTAAGGGTTATTAGCAATTAACGAAATGTAAAGAAAACACAACAAATATATAATATTCAACAAGTTTAGAGAATAATAAAAACACAAATGTAAAGCAAACAAGGTGATAAATACAAGTCTTTTCATGTCCCTTAGAGATTCAGAAAGCTCCAAGGAAAGCACTTGAAGAAGAGTATTTAGACTTATTCAGTATCAATCGGAAATGAAAACAACAAACTTACAAACGAAAACATAGTGGAAACCATGACAAAGATGAAGATAGTGACAGAGTGGGGATTTAGCATTGGAAGCCAGTAGGAACATTCCTTGAGCAAACGTTGAGAAGCAAGCTAAGGGAGATTGGGATATTAAGGTTGATGCCTAGGATGTTAGCTCTGATGGCGGTGCAAAGGCAGACGGCAGCTTCGAGGTCAACGAGGCCTTGGAGAAGGGCACAACACGGCTTCACCGGGGGTGAACCGACGGTGACATTGATCAAGTTAAGCACATTCGCGCACACACCTAACTTAAGGGCATCTCTGGGGCATCTGCCTAGTGCAGATGGAGTGGGGGTCGGGGTCGGGTTAGGGTTGGTGGAAGGGCAGGAGTTGCAAGCATTGCCAAGGGAAAAGAAGAGCATGTTGAGTGCCAAAAAGAGGGCCATGGGAGCTGATCTTTTTGATGCCATGCTGATCTTCTCAAAACCCTGCTGGTTTGCTTTCGTAGCTTAGAGTTAAACGTACAAGTGTTTGAGGATGTGGGTTTTGGAGTGAAGGAAGAGGGCTTTTTATACCGTTTCAAGAGGGTTTAGGGTCGTCGTTGTTGTTTTAATGTTAGGTTAAATGATCGAATTGTAGAATAATTAATCAATTTGATTTCTTATGGCAATTTGGGCTGGCCGGTGAAGTTTGGATGCTTGTGATCTTGAGGTAGAAAATAGCACAATGCCATGTTCCTACTCTCCTATAGGATCACTTCGTGGATGTGTACCAACTCAAAAGTTCAGGTTCCTTATTATAACTAATAATAACAAACTGATTACTATATTTAAGTTTATTAAATATAATTACAGCTGCGTTACAACAATACACATTCTATAATTATAATTTTTGAATTAAAATAAAATATAAATAATTTCACAAATATCAATTTAAACTACGATATTCACAAATGTAGAATAAAATCCACAAATATTAAATACGTATTACGTGCTATATAAATGGGTGTCACTTGTTCCCATATGTAATGGGGTAAGGGGAGGTAAGATAGTAGGTTGCCCCCAGCACTAGGTTGAGGGCAGTTTCCATAGGAGACCTCCGAATTATTAAATGCCCTCCATGAGACTCAATCCCACGACCTCAAGGTTAATAACCTTGTGTTCTACCAACTGAGCTACATAATTAAAACTATATACTCTCAGAATAATATAATTCTTAAACCATAATAAATGAAGGATAGAGTCTACAAATGTTAATTACGTATAGTAAACTTAAATCTAAATATTTAAAACCTCCTTAGGTTTCCTTTTTTAGATAATAATATTATTAAATTACTTTATACATTTACCTAAAATAAATATCCCCACTATTTCACGTTCTTCCACAATCGGAGGATAGTTCCAATTTAGACTGCTAAGCAAAGACAATGGATTAGAGATTCAAAACATCATTAATCTCTCTTTCAAGGCTAGCTTGTCAAATCTTTTCAATCTTTTGCCATTATCCTTTAAAAGATTTACTGAGATCAATAGCGGGTCGAAAAATATTTTTGAAGATATATATATATATATATATATATATTAACAATATAAAATTTTTATATTAAGGTATTAAAATGGATCAAAATATAATCAACACACAAAAAATATACTAAATAAATTAAATCTATAAATAAATATAGATATTTAAAGCCTCGTTAGGTTCCTTTTGTTAGATAATGGTATTATTAAATTGGTTTATACATTTACTTAAAATGAATATCCCCATTTTCCACGTTCTTCCAAAATAGGAAGACAGTTATAACTCAAAGACAAAGTGGATTACAGATTCAAAACAACATCATTAATCTCTCAGGATTTAGTTCCTTCGATAATTTTCAGGTTCCATTGTACTGGTTGTTAGATATTTCTATTTTTTTTTGTTATATTTAATAATAATTTTAAACATTCTTTTCTCCTTCCGTTATTTTAATTGAGTTCCGATTCAATCGAGTTATGAATGAATTTTTAATGAAGCCCCTTTCATCTTTCAAAGAAAAATTATTCTATTTGAATCTCAGTTTGTCAATTCTTTCGGCCATTATCATCTAAAGATTTATTAAGATTTGTGAAAGAAAATATAACCAATAAGAGATAAAAATTTATTAAATTTTTTTAGCAAAGCAATTATTTATTAAGACAATAATATTTGACTTTATAATTTATCTTCATAATTTCAAACGATAAAATATTATTTCATTAAATTAATTTGTAGTTTTATACGATTAAAACTACAAACTCTATTTACAATAAATACCAAGTTTTTACATGAACAATTGTATAACTTTTGGACAGAGATAAACCACAAAGCGTCCCACGTAAAAATTGTTAAGATGTACATCTTGTAGGATTTTGTTGGTATATTTGGTGGTGTTGTTATAAAATAAGGTATGGAATCTGAAGCATATGGAATGGTTGATAATTGATGCAAGCAAAGCATGAGTTTGTTGGTATATGGTTTCCTTTAGTATTATGAGGTGGTTGATAATTGCTGCAAGCAAACCTTAGTTGGAAAATGGCATTTTTAGGAGGAAATCTCGGCATGTTGCCAATGGAAACTATCTAGCTGGACTCAACTGGTGTGTCACGGGCGATATTAGAACCTGCCATCGAAGTTAACAATTCCTAATCTCATGAGATTATTTATAAATTTAATTTCAAGATTAAATTAATCCTTTTTAAATATTAATTATGAATAATTTAATTTAATCATTTTAGCACATAAATTTTAGTTTTAATCCCGACTCCCAAATAAAAATTCATACTTATATAAATTATATAATTGTTTATTATCATCTCCTACAATATAACATATAAATATCTCGGCTGTTCTAACGGTGTTGGAAATAAGATGATAGTTACCATTTACAAAGCGCCAAGCACAGACAAAATGGATTCCATATGGCATGATTAACAAGGTTGCTTGCCATGTTCGGAAATCTTGTAGTAAAGTTATCTAGCTGGATTGGACTGATGTGTCACGGGCTACCATTGAAGTAGCCCCATTAATTATTCAAATCCAGTTTCAATTTTAAATAATATTTGAGAGTATCAGTTCAAATTTGATCCCAACATATTATTTTATTTTTTAAATTATTCGAAATTTATATATCCGAATGCAACTCAAACTCGAATTATACTCAATAATTCAAAATAAAAAAATAACTAATTTTTTAATGCAATAAAATTTTATTTACTCTTAAATTCAATCACGAGAAGAGAGACTTCTGGAAAATAATTAATCATGATATAGATGAGTAATAGGTGGTTTGGATATGATAACAGTTCATTATTGAGTAAATAAAAGTTTATTTTTGTATTTAATCATTAATGAAGTCAAATCTCTAATAAGAAATAGGGTAAATTATACAAAATGGTCTCTTGATTATAAGGCTTTGTTTCGTTGAGTCTTCGACTATTAAAAATTTAAGTTTGAGTTATTGAGTATAATTCGAGTTTGAGTTGACTTTAGACATATAAATTTTGAATAATTTAAAAAATAAAATAGTATTATTTTAGCATTTAGTTAAGTGATTTGATTATTATACGATTTGATCACTTATTTCTTTATTTGTTCAATTCCTCAGTTGTTTTAAATCTATTTGTTTTATCAAATTTGAACCACATGTAGCTCAACCAAAATAAAATACAAATGTAACTCTAATTTCTCTTTTTGATAATAAATTTATATTTATTTTAATTAAATCCCTCAACTTTATATTTTATTCAATTTGATCATTTGTATGCAATTCGTTGCAAGTTATTTCTTCCATGAATTCTTGGAGTCCTCTGTACTCTCATTCATACTTTGCCCTCGAATTCTCCTCTTTAAGAAAATAATAACAGAAATATATTATATATTTTCTATGATGTGCGATTTATTAAATAGCATTACAAATCTTGTTTACACGTGTAAAAAAAATATGAAAACCAACTTAAAAAAAATTAAAATAAATATATTCAATTTGATTCGAATTTCATAAAATCAACCTAAAAAATTAAATAAAATTTAACTGATAAAATAATAATCATAAAATCGAACAACTTAATTTTTCTCCGCCCTAAGTCAACTTGATTGAATACTCGTCCTAATTGAATTGGAGTGCAAAGATATATGATAAGTACATAGGGTTTGAACCTGTATTCGTTTATGCGTGGGTTTATTAGCATTACTAAAGAACCATTCACTTAGTGTATACAGTTGGAAGAATTAAATTATGATAATAATTACGGGGATTTGTTAATATTCAAAGTACAACGTTAACTAATCAAAATTCGGTTGCATCAGAGTTGTTTTCTGTTTTATATTGTTAATTAAGCACAATTGCTTAGGTTGAGTTGGAGATGTCTACTTCGAAGGGAAAGCTGTAAGAAGATTTTGTGTTTACATTTTAATTATATTATAATCAAAACACATGCTCATCCCTTGTACGAATGAAGTGAACAAACTGCAATTATTTCAGACCACGAGAATAGTTCAGGGGTTTGAATCATTGATTCCGAAGGCTAACAAACCCTAAGCTTCCCAATTCAGGTGAAGTATATAACTAGCTTTAGGGATCTTATTGGTAAATGGAAAAAGAAACAGCAAGGAATATAATTAATACAAATCTTTTCATGTCCCTCGGAGATACATAAATCTCTAAGAAAAACACTTGAAGAAAAGTATTAGACTTATTCGGCATCAATTCCCACTAGGAAACTATAACAACAAACGAAAACACTGATTTACTACAAATACTGGAAACCATGACAAAGACGATGATACTGAAAACTGACAATTTAGCATTGGAAGTCGGTACTCCTTCCGCAAACGTTGAGAAGCAAGCTAAGGGAAACTGGGATATTAAGGTTCAGGCCCAAACGTTAGCTCTGAGTGCGGTGCAGAGGCAAACGGCAGCTTCGAGGTCGGGCAGGCCTTGGAGAAGGGAGCAGCATGGCTTCACCGGGGGTGAACCAACTACAACATTGACCAAGTTAAGCACATTGGCACAGACACCTAATTTAAGGGCATCCCTGGGGCATTTGCCTCTCGCAGATGGAGTGGGGTTTGGCCTCGGCCTTGGGTTAGGGTTAGGATTGGTGGAAGGGCAGGAGTTGCAAGCACTGACAAGGGAAAAGAAGAGAATGTTGAGTGCCAAAAAGAGGGCCACGGAAGCTGATCTTTTTGAAGCCATTTTGATCTTCTCAAAACCCTACTTGGCTTGCTTTCGCTTAGAGAAGTACAAGTGTTTGAGGATGGGGAATTGTATTATAGCACATTGCCATTGTCCCATTGCTTCTACAGGATGAAACTGCAGATCTGCCTTAGCATGAACTATATGATTTGCAGAATTGTTTCATCTATGTGATAATTGAAACCAGCAAAGAATATCAATTCGGGCAATTAATTATCTTTTTGTAAGTATAAAATTTAACTTTGAATCCATTTTCTAACGTTTGAACTGGATTAATGATTAATGAACTTAACAAGCATGGTTGAGCATGAAAGAAAAGTAACTAGTTGAAGAATAA